AGGAAGCTCTGCTTGGTTCAGCTTGGAGTAAGACTCAGCAAAAATGAAACAGCTTCAGGACTAAAACATTAAAAAAACAACTGTTATTCCGAATTTTGGTAAAGAAGGTGATGATGTTTGGGTATGAAATGCTGTGGAAATACATAAAACTCAGGAGTGAGTACTGCTCTTGAGAGCTGTATCTATGGAATCGGCAGTAGCTGAGCCAAGGGTGCCCCTTAGGCGTGCTGAGTCATCTGCTTAAACTGTGACGTGAGTTACTGTGGGCTGCTRCTGGGAGAGAGCACTTAGAACTCGGTCGTGATGAAGCAGCACGTGATGTGCCCATGCTATTGCACACCGGGTATAAACAACATGTTTGTGACAGAATTTGGGGTGTGCTTGGTACCTGCAKTGAAGGACTCCCTCAGGGAGCGTGCCTAATTCAGAGTGAAAGCCGAAGAGTTTTCTTGTGTCTCATCATGTGCGAAACATGATGCCAGTGATGTTGGTACAGACTGTTCTGCATTTGACAAACATCTTTTTGTCAAGAGGTGAATCTRCAAAGGATATGGGGAAAACTCTGGTTGCCACAGACATAACACAGCTTGGACAGAAGGCTACATCAGCCCTCTGCATTGTAGTCCAGCAGAGTGAGGATTGAGGGTTGTTCCTGTGGTTTATGGAATGATCACGTCTTTCTCAGAAGCACTGGCAGGGTCCCAGAGGAGACAGGTCACTGATCTGATTACAGTGTGACATTTCCAGTCTAGGTTGAAGGATGGAATTTCAAGGATTTTTTGGGGGCTGGGAGGCCCAGAAGAGAGGAGGATTTTTTCTAGCTGGTTCTAGAGGTGGATAAAACASCTTATGCAGGGCTAAACAGCAGGACGAGACTTGCATCCAGGTATTTTATATTTTCAAATTCAAAAGTAGCAAAATCAGTCTGCAGTGTAGTATTCAAGTTCTGTGGCTTAGGGCGTCTTCATTCTTAATTACAACTTTTTGTCAACAGTTTATATATACTGTGAATATGTCTTTTTAGTTTTTTGCTTTCTTGGGTTTTGATGTGYCTATTTTCTACAATCATGCATAAACAAATGTTTATGGATGTACATTTTACAGTGTTAGAAGCCATTGAGTGTGTAATACTTAGTGAATTGAGGGTGGGTTAAAAATGTCATAATATTATGGGAGGGTTGTTATTTAAATAGTTATGTCTTTTATAAATTTTTGCATTCTTTGTGTTTTGCTCACCTCTGGTATAATGCTGAAGAGAAACACTAAAA